AATCAAAGATCAAAAAGGGACATACAACCAAGAGGGGTGGGCTACCATTGAAGGGAAGCTGGTAATCCCTTCCTATTTGTTGTGCTCACTAGTAAGGGAGAAGCACCAGAAAACACATTGGGGAGTAGAAGCCCTGAACGCCTATTTGATTGAAAGAATTGTTGCCAGGAATTTATGTGCCACTATTGCTCAAGTGACCTGACAGTGAGATCTTTGCCTCCAGACTAACCCCAAGAACACCCCAAGACCAAAACTTGTTCAGATTGGGAGGGGCCATGGACCTGGACAGCAGTGGCATATTGACTTTTCAGAACTCCCAAGGAAAGAGGGGTCTTCGTATTTATTAGTGTTGACAGGTACATTTTCATGGTGGCCAGAAGCATTCCCCACCAGAACTATCAAGGCTCAAGAGGTGACCAGGGTATTATTACAAGAAATAATACCACACTTCAGAGTTCCAGCCACAATATCCTCAGATAGAGGATCACATTTCATTTCCAGGATAGTGCAACAGATTAGTAGCCACCTGGGCACAGATTGGGAACGTCATACTCCATACCATCCCAAATCAAGCAGCCAGGTGGAGAAAATGAATCATTTGATTAAGCAGCAAATTGTAAGACTGTGGCAGGAAGTTAATCTACCCTGGCCCCAAGCTCTTCCACTGGCACTGATATGAATTTGAACTAAAACTAGAGCCAAAGAAAGGCTGAGTCCCTTTGAAATGCTTTATGGAATTCCATATGGAATACAAAAGGGGAAGTCCACCCACGCTGGGGAGGTAACATTAGCCAACTATATGGTGCCTTAAGTAAACAGCTCAGAGAAATTGAAAAACGTGTGGCTGGAACTTGGAGTAGGGAGCTAGATGGACCAGTACATAAAATGCAGCCTGGGGATTATGTCTATGTTAAGTCTCTTACAGAGAAGACTTTGGAACCACAGTGGGAAGGACCATTCCAGGTGCCCACTCTCAAGTGAAGAACGCCCCAGAAGCCCCTTGGAAAGTTGCACAAGGAGACAATGAACTGAGACTAAAACTTACTTGGGCAAAATGAGTATATTGCGGCCGGGGGTAATGTAATTTTATTTACAGAATTGTTTTGTGTATAATTGTAATTGAAGTTTGGGATTAGAGAGTACCTCTATCCAAAAGCGATGCTGAGTGGTCCCTTGGTCCCAGGCTTTTAATCAGTCCACTGGATCCATGGCAGAACCTTCTGAGATAAAAGATTTAAACCTATCCACTGTAGTAATCCTTGGGAATCACATATATGAGGAGCTGGAGTGGCAGGAACGGGAACTGTGGACACTTCAAGGGATCAGAGGAGAAGAAATCAGGGTAGGATGCCAGGTGGTCCATGGGACCACTCATGAAGAGACCAAATCAAATTAGTGTTTCAGCCTCTCCTGTATACAGGCACTGGGAGGTTTGTGATAGCCCAAGCAAATCAGACTGTTTGTGTAATTTCACATTAATACAGCCTGTAGAAGTGATTTGTCTTTGTGCTCATAATGCTATTGGGCTCTTATTTAAATTTAAAATAGATGCTATACCTTTTGCAAAGGCAAGACCTCATACAACCTAAAGTATATGAAATAGGCCCATACGTTGTGAGGAGTATGGGTCAACAGCAACTGTTGTTCAATCCAGAGTGGTCTCTCAAATGTGTTGAATTGCTAATGCAAATTAACATCTCAGAAATCCAACCAGCCTGCTCCTCTTTCCTAAGGACATCCTTTGAGGGCCGGACAACATAGTTACAGAGACAAGTACACCTCAGGAGCAGAGTAAGAAGGGATCTAACTGGGATATTAGGGACAGGAGGGGAGTTTTAAATGGAATTGATTTGGAAATACTGATGAATAAACTGGCCACTGCAGCAGGTGGTCTAGCAAAATTGAAGCAGCTTTTACAGTCATCTCTATTGGCATTAGGAACTAGCCAGTGGCAGATGTCAAAAGTACTGCCAAAATGGGAAAAGGCTGGGGACCAAGACCACAAGTTAATAGTAGAAGCCCTTAGTACAGTTCAAGATGTGTCTTTAGCTTTCAGTTGTATACAAGCACAGTTATGGACGTAGGCAACAGCAGCTCTGATTATACGGGAAAGGGGTGAAGGTGATTTTCCAGCTGAAATTCGAAAGATTGTCTGGGATAATGTGATTGATTTTGAAAGAAAGTCCTGGTGGACTACGATAAATTTTACCTATGTCATGGTTTGACACTGGCACAATGCCAGTGCCCCCATGAAGATACCCTCTCCCTGATAGCTGCTGTGAGATGTGACCAGGAATAAGCAAAGCAGGCTCCTACTTAGGAAAGAAAAGAAAACAGAACTTTATTAACTACACTACAACTACAAATAAAAAGGAACACACACACACAGGGAAAATGAAAACCTCACAAATGCATTTCCTCCTCCCCCCACCAAATTTCCAACACAATACATCTATTCCTCAAATCACCAACTCTCGGTCCAGCACCACCTTTTAGACAAATCAATCCTCAGTACATCAAGAGGAGAGGAGTCCTTCTTGTACCATGGGCTTCCCCTGGAAACACAGCTGAAGCCTCGTGTGTTTCCGTGTCACTCGTGGCACCGCCCGGAGTACATCTGCCGTCGTGACCTCTTCCTTTTCATGTCCAGTGCTCTCACCACTGAACACGGACCAGAGCTGCTTCTAGGGTTGTCTTTTTTAAGGATGCTCTGTCCCGATCCAAAAAGGCACAGTCTCTCCTTTGGGACACCTGTCCCCACAATCTCTCCTTTGGGACACCTGTCCCCCCCATATTTTTTCACCCCCTGGGGCCGAGGGGCATCAACACTGAACCCTCTTGGTTCTGAGGCATTGCCTCCCCCTAGAATGCAGTCTCTGTGTCACAAGGAACATGGTTCTGTCCATGGCTATACAAAAAGAGTCCAGCAAAAGCCACTCCATCATCTCTTCCCACTAGGATTCTTCTCTACTCTTCTACTATCTCTCGCTCGCCCAGACCTCTCTCACACTTGCACATTTCCTTCCTCATCTTCCACTCTATCTTCTAGGAGAGGTCAATGATCTGTAAAGTTCTCATTCTCCAAAAAGGAGTTAAAAGCTCCTACAAGCGGCCGGCTGAACTCCCCCTTCTTCTCCTTCCCAGCCGTGCTGCCGGCACAGGCCCATGTTTATCAGGTCTCAAGGTTACAGTCCCAGGCACCGGCTCTCTCTCTCTCTCTTTCTCTCTCTCTGTGTCTCTTAGGGGGGGCTGCCCGGTGGCTCCTGGTCTCTCTCTCTCTCTCTTCCACCCTTCCACCCCCGGGCTCAGGCCTACTTCTCTCGGCCACATGGCTTTTCCCCTCCCCCTGCCCAGCCAGCAGCTGGGCCGGGGGAGAGACCCGAACTCTTTCCCGCCAGAAACCCAAGAGACCCTCCCAGGGGAGAGCTCTGCTTTTAACCCCGTGTTCTCAGAGGCGTGTCCATGTCCTAATGGCCAGGTTAAATGCCAATATTAAAGCCTGAATATCCATTGGCCCAAAACACAGCATCCCAAAAAACACATTTCCTGTCAAACCACCACAGCCTATGATCCTGAGTCTAAGGTGGCCACTGCCTTTGTGCTTACTATACATAATGCCACTGTTTATGTTATCCACCCCATCATTGCACTAGGATTAAATAACTAAAAAAACGGTACTCTACCCCTCAGAACATAGGCTGTGGGCACAAAAGGTGAATGAAAAGTGGCAAACAGTAAACTTAGAATCTTGTGCTGCTAGGGAACAACTAGGATTCATTTGTGAAAGCAACAGTATTATTGCTCAAGATGTGAATGTTGACAATGAACAAAGTATTTTCCACTTCCAGATTCATCCAGTTATCTCGCCTTCACCTGGAAAAGACAGGTGAAAACTGCCTTCAACAAGCCTACCCCATGGCATTCCAGGATCCTTTACCATTTTCCCCCTCCCCACCAAACAGCATCAAAGTGTGATTGAAAAGGGCAAAAATTTTGCTGCAAATTTGTACAGTATGTAGATGATTTGTTAATTAGCAAGTTGAGATAAGAAAGTTCTTTCCCTTCCTGTGATGACCATCGGGCAAACCAGCACAGCAAGCTGCAGTTTGTGTCTCTGCAGCTGGCTCTTTGATTGCTCCTTCTCTCCATTGGCCACACTTACACAGCCCTCTCATCTTCCACAACTCCTCCCTTTCTCTGCCCTCATCTCCTCCCAAATATGGAGCCAAGCCCAGGCATCATTTCCCCCTGGCTCACAGGCTGGCCATGCCTGTGAACAGCCGTGGTGTTGCAGGTGGTGTTGGCCCACTCACCTTGGCCTTCCACGGTATTCCTGGTGTGCTTTCCTAGGGTTCCTGCCAGGTTCCTCTCCCCAGAATGACCCCAGCTCTTCCTCTGAGTATCTGTGAAGTGTGACCACCTGGCACCTCAATGCCCCTTTGCTGCCTGTGAAATCTGGCTCTGCCTTAGGGCACTGGCACTCCAGTCAGGAGCCAGGAGTTTCCCTTGTCATGCTTGGGAGTTTCCCAGATCTGTTCCCTTAGCCCAGGCTCTCACCAGGCCCTAATCAGCAGCCCATGTGCATTTGAGCACCACCCCAAGGTATGTGCTTTTTTCCTATCCTCTTCCAAGGCTTGAGGTAGCAGGTTCCTCCAGGCCATGGTGGCTCAGAGCACTTTCCTCTCTGACCAGGCACTTTGGAGCTCTTTGGAGCCACTATATCCTTTTGTGCCCCCAGGCTCGTTCTGCAGGTGCTGAGCATGGCACTTCTTGTCTTACCCCGGAGTTGGAATTGCACTGAAAAGATGGTTCCATGTGAACAAAGGTAATTTTATTTCAACAACTAAATCAACTCCAGTGTGTGTGTGTGCACAGAGGAGATGAGTGTGGTCAGAACAGAGAAGGGTTTTGACCCTGAGGCTGCCTTTGGAACAGCAGGCATTGCCCCAGCAGGAAATGGTTGTGGTGCACTGCAGCCTGCTCTGGATCCTGCCTGCTGCTCAAGGAGCACTTTTAACTGCGTTTATACGCATATTATAATCGATCCATTCATAGAAGTGCTGAACGGAGCTGTAGACTCCAGGCTGCCTTGCTCTGGCACAGCCTTCCCCCCAGCTGGTCACTCCGATGACCCACCAGTAGGCAGCGTTGTTGTCCTGGCACATGAGAGGACCACCGCTGTCACCCTGCAGCAGAGCACAGAGGATTAAGGTGGTGTTGGTGGCACCTGCCAGCACTGGGGCTGTCTCCTTCTCTCTCACAGCCCCTGCCAGAGCTTTATTCTGGGCAGAGAAAAGTTCTGCTCAGAGGCTGGAGCCTCCAGAAGCTTGGCTGTGAATGAGTTGGGTTCTTGTAGGGTAGGGCTCTCTCTATCCTATCTGCACAGGACTCCTGGATGTGCAGAAGATGGAACTTTGGCACCTGGACCTCTTCACTGCCAAGAGCACTAGCTGGCCTTTCTGGGCTTTCTGGCACAAGGGGAGGCCTGGGCAGGCAGGTGTGGATGGGCAGTGTGTGGGAAGCCCCCACAGCAGTCAGGGGGAGCTGGGGCTGGGAGGGTGAGTGAGTGGCCGGGCAAAGCAGGCTCTGAGCTGTGTTGGGGTGGTGCTTCCCTGGCTGCTGGTGCTGCTGGGGGCTGAGTGGCTCGTGGCACGTTCCTACCTTGCAGGAGTCAATGGTGCCCTGTGGGTATCCAGCGCACAAGTTGTAGGGATGGACTTCTCCTGCGTACCAGTCACTGCTGTTGCATAGCTGGAGATCAATGAGCTTGACCTTGGCCTGCTGAAGGTGATCAGCTGAATCTAGACCTGTGAGCAGAGAAAGGAATAAGCCCCTGGCAGCTCCATGCTGGTTCTGCTTCTCTGTCAGGCCAATCCCTTCCCCTAGGGGCAGGCCCTTCTCTGCAGGGATGTATGTTCTGCAGCCTGGCTTTGGCCTTTGCTGTGAGGAAGCCCAAAACCTATCTCCAGTGTGCTGAGCTGGCCCAGAAGTTGCTCTTGGAACTCACTTCTTGCAGTAGTGGCCCCCCAGCCAGCAATCCAGCAGTTTCTCAGCTCTGAGACACTTAGGGTGGGTTCAGCCAGGCAGGCCAGCTGGATGTATGAGCTGCACAGGACAGGACGGTCCAATTGCATCAAGGCAATGTCGTTGCTCATGTCGCTACGCTTGTAGTTGCGGTGTATCACCACCTTCTTGACATTGCGCACTTGTGCCCCAGGGCCCGGCTGAGACAACTGGGTGGCCCCAATCACCACATACAGAAGGCTGATGTTACTGGAAAGGAGACGGAGAGAGAGATGAGAGGGAGTCACAGCAGCCCAGCAGCTGCTAGACCTTGGCTTGGCAAGGCAGAGAGGGAGTAGTGCTCTGGCAGGTGTGAGGGCCCTCACACGCCTTAGGCCAGGGGAATGTCAAGCTGGAGGCTGCAAGGAAGCCTTGGCATGAGCCCAGGCTTCTCCTGAGCACAGTGGCAGCCTGGCTGCCTGAGAGGAAAGGGCATGGGAGTAGCAGGTGATGCTGCTGGCAGGGCACCTGCTGGTGTTGTGGACATGTCCCCATTCCCTGCTCCTCCTTACTCAAACTTGTCGAAGCAGTGGGCTGCTGTGAGGACCCAATCTGCAGTGATGAGGGAACCTCCACACCAATGTCCCAGGCCTGGTACCCATGGGTGCTGGATGCTGACGAGCCAGGGCCATTCTGCTACTGCGGCACCGGCACCACCCACGATGCGTGTCATGCCGTAGTCATAAGCCACATTGCCGTAGGAATAAGTCATGGGGATGTTGACAGGTGGCGGAACTCGGAACCCACAGCTCCCTCTGCAAGCAGAAAGTAATTTCCATGCTGCTTCACGGCCTGCTGTGGCTCAGGCTGAAGCTCAGCCCTCTGCCCTCCCCACAAGGGCCTGCACACACAACAGGCCAGGGAAGGCCATGGGGTGTGTGTGTGTGTGTCCATGCCAGCACCTGGCTGCTGGCAAGGAACTGAGGCTTCCCATGGTGGGTGGGAAGCTGTGGGGACAGGCACGTCTCCTCCAGGGAAGGCCGCAAGTGTTGCCATGGCTCCTTCCCTGGGCCTGCGGCCACTTACCCGCAGGTGTACTGGATGCTCTGCGCCAGCCCAGCCACGGTCAGCAGGATGAGGAGGCCAAGCCAATTCATGGCTGCCAGAGGCACGTGTCAGCTGCAAGCACTGAGAGCTCCGTGCAGCAGCACAGTCACAGCCGCACTGCCCACAGCAGCTGCGCTGCCCGTGGTGCCCTTGGTCCTGGGGCTGATGTCACAGAGGGGTGGGTTCCATGTTCTGAGCACTGCAGGGTTCTGTGGCACAGGGCCCACTGGGGGAGGGGCAACGTGGAATTAGTGAGCCATGGAATGGTTTGGGCTGTAAGGGACTTTGGAAATCATCTCCCTCTGATCCCTTGCCTTGGGCATGGAGGAATGGCTTGCATTGGAGGAAGCTGCTCAGAGCCTGGTTCAGAATCTGTCCTTGAACACTTTGAGGGATGGGGCATTGAAGTACTAAGTCCTGATCAACAGGCCCTGACCGAGGCAGGAACAACACCTCTTGACCAAAAGTTGATCTCTAGATTGACCTTCTAGCCAAATGTTATCTATATCTGCTTACTGGCAAAACATGGATTTTCCTTTCCCTATTTAGAAGCTGGACAAGGCAACATCTGGCCTCCTTTTGGGGTGTAGCATCACAGACAATTCCCTTGGTTCCTCCTGAAGCCCTCCAGGGCCTTGGGAGCATCCCAATAGGAGAACAAAACCAGATGTTCCTGCTCTAGAAGTTATGGTAGCTTGTTTATTCAACAGTATAAAAAGAGGGCCCTCTCCCACTGCAGTCAGAAACTTCATTGCCTGTTGGGGAAGGCACCTGCAGAATTTCCTACTTGCAAGGAGTGGTTCCCCTGTATTGTGACAGTGGCTTCCCCCAGCTAAATGGGTAGACCTGGATGATGGTAAAGTATTAGAGTAATTTGTGATGTGTCTTTCTTCATCATGTAGGCAGTCTTTTATAGTAATGATTAGATGCATTGCTTAGGTTATCCTTTTGCAATTCTTTGCAGTTTTGGATTACAGTAAATTACACTTGTTCCTGAAGTTGGTGTCTGTGTCTTCTCTACTGACCCTGACTATGGGAAAAGCAGGATTCCACACTGCTCTGGGCAACCTATGCCTGTGCCTCAGTGCCTTTGAGTGATTTATTATGACAGTATATTCAGATATCCTCTATTCTGTTTCCAGAAATTGTTACTGTATCTTTAAGACCCTTCAATCCTGGGACCTTGAGTGTGTGAGGCAGGGGGGACAAAGTGTTTTTGTTCTGCATGGGTATTTTTTAAAAGCTCCCTACCCAGGTTTTTTAGGGCTCTGTGCAGCGTAATTTTATCGTGGCTGGCTTGGTTTTTGCCTTGGCAAAAGTTTTTCCTTTCCTTGTATAATATGTGGTGTGAGATAATTCGTGCTTATATGAGATATATACGAATTAAAGTTGTAAGTAAAATTGTGCATGTAAAAAAAATCCAAATACATAAGACCACGGACAGTCAGGAGACAGAGTGCCACATAGAAATTTTGAAACTCCAGATGGTAGCAAGGAAAGAAAGCCTAATTAGCAAGCGAAAGGACATTGCTGGTGCAGAGATGGGCCTTTCCAGGGACTATCCGGGGAACACCCAAGAGCATGAACACTTGATAAGTATCTTCAATCAAGATAACCAGAATTGTCAGGAACATACATCTGAATACCAGGTTCCCATAACTCAACATCAACACTCATTGCCTCCCAGAAACAGCATTGTCCAGCCCTGCACAGAGAAAGGAGACTTCATGCATATGCAGAGTAATGAAAAGAGTAGGGGCACTTCTGCCTCGGGCAGAAAAAACTGTATAAAACCAGCCCCAACAGAGACAGCATTTGTGAACAGAGGGGGTTCGATGTGACAGAGGTTGGATTGAGGTTCACCCAGCGCCGGTCCTGGGCTCAATGCTCTCTCTTTGGCTGTGGCTATTGAGGACCGTATTTTTGGTCATGAAAATAAAATCTTTTGTTATTATTAATTTGGCTTTTTCATTTATTACCTATAACAATCCTGGTGACCCTGATGTGATCTGATTTAGGGGTCTGGGGACCCCCTCTCCGGTCAGGAGGTGGCCTGCTGATTTTACTGGTCTGATGGGATTGGGAACCACGTGCAACCAATCATATCTCAAACCAAAAGCCAGAGCCACAATCAAAGAGTGGATAAAAACAGGCCCAGAGCTCTCAGGTAATTTGGACAGATCCAGGGAAAGGATCTCCGAAGCTGCGGCACAGCTTTTTCACTCTTAAAAATCCACGTGCATGAAGAGCACATAAAGGAACCGTAAGTATCGCTTGGTTGAGTGAGGTGTGATCGAGCATGTGTGTGAGATGTGATATTATCACGAAGCGAGTGTGGACCCCAAGATCGCAGTTCCACTCTCCTGCAAGGGAAGTGGTCTGTCACGGGGGAAGCGGATGCAACATGGTGATAGACTCATTTCACACGTAAAGCCTGAAACTCAGGGAGTTCAGGGGTTTAATCATGGGAAAGATCAAAAAGGGAAGGGATGTTCTCAGGCATTTGGGAACTGGTAAACCTTTTTGATCCAGGATTCAGGTAAGGAAGAGAGAGCTCATTATCAGCCAAAAAACCCACAAATCAGTTCACTGTGAGGCAAGTAGGCTAGTAATCCTGAACAAATTCTAGGCATAAAATTGGTACTGGATAAAGACCCGGGATTCTTTTCGGGAACCCCAGCGCAAGAACTAAGGTAAGGAAACACTAGAAAAGTCATTTTTCTCAGAAAAAATCAGACAGAAAAAGAGCAAGGCTCAGGGAAAAACCCAGGAGAAGCCTTTAAAGGCATGAGGAAAGGGTTTACCCGAGATTCCAAGGGATAGCCCATTGGGATGGATGTTGGAACATTGGGAAGATGATCCCGAAAGGAGGGGGACATCTAAGGAGAAAATGGTCCATTACTGCATTGAAATATGGGGAGATAAGGAAATTAGAAGACATTCGGTCTCACCTGTGTTTGGCACGTTCGAAAGATGGACTTGCCAGCCTTTATAGGACCATGTGGCTGGTAAATACCCACAAGATTTAGAGGAAATGGAATATGCTGGATTGTGGGGAAACACTAGCATGGGGTTATTCCCGATCAGAACTCGCAAACATGCGGCGACTCAGAGCAAGGCATGGGAACCTTTGGATAACCTCTTGCCTCCCTATCTAACTCCTCCATCCCAACCCATGCAAGCCCGGGTCCCTGTGCCCGCACCCACGGGACCTCTGCAAGCCCAGGCACCCCCGATGCCTATACCGCCTCCAGAAGCCATGCTCCTACAAGAGCAGGCTTTGGCATTGCAATTCCCACAGGATCATTCCCAGCCCCCACCCCCACAACAGATGGCAGAGAAGCAAACCCTCCTCACCGGGGAAACCAGTTCTCCCCCCGCCAGCAGGACACAATGCAAAATGAGAAAGGTATATAATGATGATAGCGAGGACAAGGAAGATAAGCATAACCTCTTCCCTTTAAGGGAGGTACCGACTGCTCCAGGAGTTATCGAATTTGTAAACATGCCAATTAATACTGGGGATGTAAGGGCTTTTAAGAAAGAAATGGAAAGGCTGATAGCCATTGGGGATAGCAGAAAGGCTAGATTAGTTCCTAGGAACTAGCATCTACACATACAATGACATGAATGCTATATTAAGGTCACTGTTCAATAACGAGGAGCGGGAAATTATAAGGCAAGCCTCAATTCAAGATTGGGAATATTAGGAATATAGGAATATAGGGAGAGTGAGGTGACCAGAGATGGCCTGACCAAGAGACCATCGTGGAACGCCCAGTTGGAGGAAGGCAGGCAGAAAATGATAAACCTCAGAAATATGGTAATACAAGGTGTACAGGAGGCAGTACCCAAGGGGCAGAATATGAGCAAAGTACTTAGGGAATGCCAGGGGAAGGATAAAACACTCACCGAGTGGTTAGAGAGGCTGAAAGAAAGTCTTTAGATGTACTCGGGAATGGACCCTGATTCCCCAGTCAGCGTGGTCCTGCTGAAAACGCAATTTGTTGCAAAATCATGGGAAGACATACGAAAGAAACTGGAGAAAATAGAAGGTTGGCAGGAAAAAGAATTACAGGATTTACTTAGAGAGGTGCAGAAGGTTTACATGAGGAGGGATGAGGAAAAGCAGAAAGTACAAGCAAAGGTGTTGGTAGCAGTGGTGAGGGAAGCACAAAAACAGGAATGGGTCCAAGACCTTGTAAAGCCAGTGCAGGACTGTCCACCTCAGAAGAAGCAGAACCCCTCCCAAAGTAAGTACTCAAATAACCAGAGAAATGTCCCAGGGTGCTTTTACTGTTAACAGAGAAGTCACTTTAAGAGAGAATGTAAGAAGAGAATGAAAATGAAAAAATCTTTCAGGAGGATTAGAGGTGTCAGGGGCTTTTTAATTTGGGGTCCAGAACATCCAAGGAGCCCTTGATAAAGCTGAAGGTAGGACCTCAAAAACAGGAATTAATATTCTTAGTGGATTCTAGAGCTGAGCGAAGTAGTGTGCAGCGATTACCACCCGGATGCACTATAAGCAAGGACACTATGATGGCAGTCGGGGCAAAAGGGGAACCTGTTAAAGTTCCAGTTATTAAAAATGTAGAGACAGAATGTGAGACTAGGTTTTGCCTAGGGAATATGCTACTGGTTGAGGAAGCAGACTATAACCTGCTGGGGAGGGATTTGATGGTAGCTCTGGGGATAAGCCTGATTGTACAAGAATCCCAGCTCAGGGTAAGTCTATACCAACTAACCACAGAGGATGAGGATAAAATAGATCCAGAAGTCTGGTATACCCAAGGGGAGGCTGGAAGGCTAGACATAGAGCCAATAGATATCAAAATCAAGAGACTAGAGGATCCGATTAGGATTAAGCAAAACCCCATTCCTATGGAAGGAAGGAGGGGTTTGAAACCAGTAATAGAAGAACTGATAAGAAAGGGGACTCTGGAGCCTTGCATGTCTAGGCATAATACCCCAATCTTGGCAGTATGAAAGATGGATGGTAGTTACAGGCTAGTGTAAGATCTGAGAGCCGTGAACAGAAGGATTAAAACAC